ATGGAAATACCACTCTCGCTTTCACAATAGCTGCGAAGCATCTGAATATACCTGTAAGCCTTGTTCAAATCTTGATATGCAGTATGTGGACGTCAAGTACGCTTTCAGCAATTGCTTGAAGTAGAGGATCTGTGCGATTCTAACCACCCGGACGAGCGGAGTGTTATGACATATATCGCTAGTTTCTTCCACGCCTTTTCCTCCATGGGTAAGATATAATCACATCGCTCTGCTAGAGAGTATTCACGTTTGGGTTCAGATCAGGCAGAAACAGTCTCGCGACGGGTAGAGAAGTTTGCAGAACTCATGCAATCCGTTTGGCTCAGTAGAAATGACTACGAACGTCGAATAAAGCTCGTATGTCATGTTACCAAGTTCAGACAATATATGTCTTGACATCTGTTCAGCTACTGTCCGCTTTAGCTGAGACTCAGTTTCAGTGGGCTACTACAGTTTTCTCCGGCAGCTATACAGATGCCAAAGAGTTGTCAATGGACTTCGCCACCTACAAAAAAACCATAAAAAGAGCTTGGGTGACGGAACGACAGGACCTTGCTACCTTATTTGGAAATGTACAGACAAAACTCAAAACGTATGGACTTACAGAGTATGTTCCCCCGCCCGGACTAGCACTCTGCGATCTTGACGAGGCTTGGAAACGACTTTTGGCTGCTGAGGCTACCAGGTCGAGAGCCATCAATGCACAAATAAGAGAGCATGTCCACCCAGTGTTCTTTCCCAAATTAGCTGGCTGACTTCAAGGTCCCTTAGGATAAAAGAGTCTCTCAGAAAAAAATTCGCAGATTTAGCGAACGACTTTGAGCGACGGTTGCATGCCATTTCCATAGAGCTGACTGCGATCGAAGGCACCCTCGAGGTATCGTTTGCGTTTCTGATCTGTGTTAGTTTCCGCTAAAGCAATACCAATAGTCTCAACAAGAGCAGGTGCAAGAAATACAAACGCGGCTACCCGCGCTGGAAGACGTTCTAGCCAATGTTGCCAGTGTAGAAGCTGAGTGTGAAGCAGCGAATGTTGAGGAGAATGATTATACAGTCTTTACTTGTCAAGATCTTGGTTTTGAACTCGAATTGCTCAACCAGAGCGTTGTGAAGAAGATTGCCTTTATTGATAACCAGGTCTGTTTTTTTTTTACATCGCAGTCTTCGGCTTGCTCACGGTGACTTTCAGATCGTGTCAAGGAACATGACAAATCTGACTCCGGCGCAGCTTGAACAATTTGAAAGCGCGTTCCGATACTTTGACAAGGATGAGACAAATACACTCAGTTTGCCTGAAATGACCGCAGCACTTGCTAGTCTAGGCATTGTCTACATCGACGAGGATATTATATCTATCTTCGAGACATTGACCCAGGCGTATGGTGCGGTGACATACGAAGCCTTCATTAACCTCCTCGTAAGGTTGAAACGGCATTCAAGAATCACGTCCTCACAACTCTTTGTCTTCGTAGGTTGACATCACGGAAGATCAGACGTCGGCCGAGCAGCTGCGCGAAGCGTTCCGCGGTATCGCGACCGATAAAGTGCGTACTGCGCAGATCGTCGGCTATAGGGATAACTTATGGATGTATAGCCTTTCGTGACTGAGCTCGATCTCCGCATTGCACACCTTCCTCAATCTGCGATCGACTACCTGTGTGAGGCAATGCCAAGTACTAACAGTAAAGCTGGAGAGTCGGAGTATAATTATGAGCGATGGCTGGACGACGTGTTTGCGTAGTCGATGCAACATTAGATACGGATATGATTTTCATGAAGGCTCAATAGTCCACGCAAGTTTTGAACCTGTTGACGTTTGATCACGATAAGAGAGGATCACGCGCATGATCGTATAGCTGTTTCAACTTCACAGCCACATCTCAGCCTTTCTTCCGTTCATCGTCTGTTCATCGCTTGTTCATCGCTTTTTAATCTCGATATGGTGAGATTGACGATAGTATGGGTATATTTATGAAGCTCAATCAGCCACAATCCAGGCTTCTGGTGTTGGTGTCAACTCCAATTGTCTCGAAGAATTCCAGGCCCTCAAACTCAAAAAGACGCACAAATATATCATCTTCACGCTGTCTAGTGACTCAACTGAGATCGTCGTCGAGAAGACATCTTCCTCCACCAATTTTGAAGATTTCATCGCGGACTTGCCCGAAACAGAATGTCGATGGGCAATTTACGACTTCGAGTTTGAGAAGGAGGATGGTGGTAAAAGAAACAAGATTACCTTTGTCTCCTGGTATGTCGCGATACTTTGACTCTGATCATCTTTCGTATCTTTAGCTTGTCCTTCTCGATGTCTCTGTTGTTATGTTAGCTGATCTACGTCCTAAGGGCCCCCGACACCGCCAAGATCAAGCAGAAGATGGTCTTTGCATCCTCTAAGGACGCTCTGCGACGCAGTCTCGTTGGTGTTGCCGTAGAGATTCAAGGCACTGATTACAGCGAAGTTGCGTACGAAAGCAGTGTGTCCTCATCCTTCATCTCTGTTTCGAATACAACTCATCATATCTCTAGTCCTTGATAAGGCGAGCCGTGGAAACTAATTGGTTTATTTTTCCGTGTATCTTGTATCCTCTTGTGCTGTGATTCCAGCCCCCCTCAGTACCCATCAGTACCCATCCTGCCTCGGAAAATCAATAATTGCATCATCTTTTATCATTTATATTGATGTTTGAAGTATGAGCCGTAACTCAACGTTTCAAACTCTTGTCGAAAAACTCTGGCACTTTTTGATTGATTCATGGCTTGTCGTGGGCTACGCCTTCATCAACGGGACTATGTGTTATCAATGGTCCGCTAACTGAGCATCCGGCCATTTATCCAGGTTCCTTCTCACGTATGATTCTTGATTTCAAGATCACGGAGCGTCGTCGCAACCTGACGAGATCAGTTTGTTCTCAACTGTGTATCCATGTTCGCGCAATTTGTAAGATGAAACGCATCGCACGTCAAGGACTTGCTTTTGCATCTTCACCAGTTCTTCGCATACCTCCCGGCCTGGAGCCTCTCTTTTTTTCGACCCAGACTTTTCCTGCATTTATGTCCGGCAAGCTAATCTGGATATCGCCTTTTTTCTCTCTTTTCCTCTTGACTCTTGCCATCGAAAGTTCGTTTCCGATTCGTGTGTATGTACAATTCGCTTTCAAAGATTTTTGAGTCAAACATTAACACTAACGTAAGCGGTTGCGGAAATGAGCCCACAGAAGAAAGTGTGCGCGTCGCGGAACAGAGCTTCCAGGAAAATATCGTTTCCCTCAACGACTCGGGTGCTGCAACACGTTCTCTGGAGATCGATGTTTATTTTCATATCGTTGCAGCAAACGCTACAGCCGAAGGCGGCTGGGTTTCGTATGTGACAACGATGTTTCAAAAGGACGGCAGTTCAGGCTGCTAAATGCATACAGAAATGCACAGATAGATGCACAAATAGCTGTTCTGAACCAAGATTATGCTGAAGTAGGTATAACCTGGAGACATATGTCTACAACCAGAATCATCAGCCAAGATTGGTTCGAGGGTATAACTCAGGACAGGTTGAGTTCTTTTGAGTATGTCCTTTGGTATGGAGACTCACCAGTCCATCTATCATCTATCTATCAGTATTGATGCCAACCTACTGAAGAAGGTATTTCGGCAAGGAGAGATGAATACCCTCAATGTCTTCACTGTAGGGTATGCACTATACTCCTTTTCTTCGTAGACAAGTGAGATTCTGATTTCTTTCAAGGTTTCCCAATTCAACCCTGCTCGGATACTCCACATTTCCATGGGACTATCGTTCCGCTCCAGATCTTGATGGAATCATCATCCGACATTCGTCCTTTCCTGGTGGTTCCCTGATCCAGTACAGCCTCGGAAAGACTCTGGTTCACGAAGCAGGGCATTGGGTTGGACTATACCATACCTTTCAGGTGAGCTTGGGGTATAACGTGGTCCTCCGTTGTCTGACGAGTCCTAGGGAGGATGTACTGGCCAAGGAGACTCTGTCGATGACACGCCTGCTGTCAGCGTGGCTAATTTTGGGTGCCCGACGCAACGTGATTCATGTCCTGGCGGTGGCGTGGACTTGATCAGTAAGCCTTTCCGCGACTTCAGTTGGACTTCAGTGTTTCAAGATGTTTAATTATTCTTCAGATAACTTTATGGATTACACGGACGACGATTGCAAGTCTGCTTTTACGCCGGGACAGATTTCGCGTATGCAAACAATGTCAAAACTCTACCGCTCTGCGATATGACCGAAACTGGGTTTGATACTTTACTGTGTAATCTTATAGGTCTCGTCACTTATACAATCAGAGGTCACAAGAATGATAACTTTCTCCACGAGCACGTTTACGAAAAGAGAGGATTGTTGTCGGTATCAACCGATATGGTTCACTGTTCTGGATGTGAAACGTCACCTTGAGAAGCAAAGGTAAATAAGGGCTTTCTGTCTTGACACAAATCTGCGGAAAAAATATTACGGAACAAAGGCAGCCGATATTCCAGGACTTTCATTGTACTTTGGATCAAATTTCCGGACTTTTTTGTGTTAGGGATTGGGGATTGGATCGTGAAGGGTGACCACAGTTTGCAAGGATCGAGAATTGGAAGGAGCATACCAAAGTGATAGGAATTAATGCAAGTCACATGTGGGGTTTGTTACTCTCTGAGTTATTGATCTATTAAAGTCTGGGAGGTGTGAAGCTAACACAGGGTGCACCGGTGGTGTTTGGCGTAATGCACCGTAAGTTGTCCAAACTCATGTGTCGTCCCTCTCTGATTTGAAATAAATTTCGGGAGAACATGAGAAAACATATAGCATCGGACCCTAGAGACTTGCAGTATGCATTCAGCACTCATACAACTTGAAAGAGGCAAGATCAGATTATATCTAGTAGTGGGTCATTTTCCATCATTTCCTGAACTCGATAGGTGAAATCGAAGAGAAAATAGAAAATAAAAAGAACACAAGTTTACGATCATTAAAAGATTAATTAGTTTGGCCAACGTGGGGATCGAACCCAAGACCTTCGCGTATAACATACAAGTTATTAGCACGACGCTCTAACCAACTGAGCTAGTCGGCCTACAAATATACACTTTGATTATTTGATCGGGTTTTGAGTCCAGAAGGTGCCATTTGTCCGGAAGAAATCAGAAAAACACTTGCTAGCACAGTCTACTTTGTTTACATCCAGACAACATACCGCGACAGAGTGATCTACTTGTTTGTTTAAGAATCTAGGGCTTGTGTACACAGTCTGTTGCAGGCCATGCAACTACTCAACAATTCAATTTCGATATTGGCTGATCTAGCGCCACCTCAATGCTTTTGGCGTGCAAAGACATGAATATGAGCAAGACCTGGGACACTTTGTAGCCTCTGCTCGCAATTCGTATGAGTTTAAAAGGGCAGAAAGCAAGTGAAACATCTTACCGGGGGGTTTACGAACCAGGCAGTTTCCCACAGTAACTCGTCCCAGCGATTTCTAACGAACTCTTGAATCTCCTCTCCTGCACGTCGAAGCAATTCTGCTTCTTCTGCAGTTGGCGGTGCTGATCTAATGAGCCTGTCGACTGTGATACCCCAGTCAGAGAGGGCAGGCAGACACGAATGGAGTGTAGAAGGAGAGGGTGGTGGGGAGGTAGAACCCGTAAATCCCCAAAGTCCATCTTGTTCTACACGTGTTGATATACATTTCGCCACAAGATCTTCATGGTAAATCGGCAAGCGAGTCCAGATTAGGGTATGTTCTATTTCGGGCGGAACTGTCGCCATGTGTCATAAGTAGAACGATGCTCAAAAGCAAAGAGAGCGTGCCAGAATAAGGCCAGTCATTCTGAATTATGCTCAAGTATTCGCGGGGAGTATTGCGAGTGAAATACCTGGGCGCATCATTGGAAAGTGGTGGGGGTCCGTTCATGATGCTTCCATTTTGAGACGGTAACTCAGGCTCGTCTACGTCTAGGGCTGAAGTTAGCAGAGACAAAGTATCACGTTTTCCCCATTGTAGTCTGAAGTTCGTGAGATAATTGACTACAGATTGTCCAAAAGTTCATTCAGCTTCAAATATCAGAGCCGTTACACGTCATACGCACTAATGGAACCGTATTCTGCCTTGATACCTACGGCCCATTCGTCGTACCTTGCTTGAAGCTTCTTGTCTCGTTTAAGAAGCCCAAGGTCACTGTACTTTGGTGTCAAGAAGCAGAAGGATAGTCAAGAAACAGACCAGGGAATACCCAGAGTTCACAAAAGTCTTGAGCTGTGTCCAAGTGAACTTTGCGGGATAGTAGACCAGCAGTTCCTGCCTCGTCGGTGGTCCGGTTCGCAGTGTAACATCTTTTGGTGAGAGTATTGTAGTGGGTATGGAGGAGATGATCATACTGACCTCAGCTCTCTCTTTTAGTGATTGCATAGTAAAAGCGCAATATCTATCTTGCTACCGGACCAATGCGGGCCGGTTCTATTTGGCTTCTGCCCATAACTTGCCCATAACCATGTCAACTTGGGGAAATCAGGCATCTAAGTCTACGAATAGGGGGAGGGGTAGAGGGGTTTCCAAAGGTTATAAATCCTCTGCATCGCCGAGAGGGCAGATGGAACATATCGCATCTATTAGTAGGAGCAGTGGGTTGCAAAAGGACGGGGATACGTGAGGTTTCTTCTTGATTCGCCTGGCATCTCCGTTGTGATAGACTGCAAGACCCCAGATTGAAAAATTTCAGGGTGCAAGAAGAGTATAGAAGCTTTTTACAGGACAAGGTAGTATGCGCTGTGCTTCATTATACGATAACTTTGCACTGATGTGTTTTAAGGTCGATGACGTTTTGAGGCATCCACAACAATTCGCAGAAATTGAGAAAGACACAACAGCTCGCATAAACGCGCAAGAGAACGTCCTTATATTATTTAGTGAGCCATCCATTCATGGCAGTCACGGTCTTCCTGATCATCGTGCCCAGGAAAACTAAGGGAAGGGATATTCTCGTCGAAGCGTACTGATGCCTTTGCCTTGGAAGGTATGCAATCGCCTTGAGCATACCTGCTTATCTCAATTTCTCCTAGTTTACGAGACATCCTTATATCTTGCTATAGTCTTTGAGTCTCCAACACAAATTACGGCGGTCCTTTCACATCTAGTACCGTCCTTGTATCTTACAACGCCTCCGCCGCACAAGAAGCGACTCGTTACCGTACTGATCTCCTTAATGCACCAGCTTCTCATCACATACCCGTCACAAAGGACCTTCAGACAATTTCTTCAAACTATTCCCTCTGACTTCCTCCCCGCCACTTCTGCAGCACATGTATGGATTATCTCGATCGCGAAGAGTCTTGGGACACGAAACTACGCATCTTTCGTGGAATTGAGTAGCTCAGCGAGCATTTCAAAAGTGCTCGCTGATTCAGATGGTCTATCAGAAGCCATGAATTCCCTATCACTATCTGACCAAAATAGTGACAGCTTGTCACATCGAGCCCTTTGCATACTCATGCACTCTCTACGGAACAAGTTTCGAAATACATCTTGGGGAATCGTCCGATCGGCTTATCGAGAGCTATCGTGCGATAATCAAGACACAAAGGCATGGTTGGAGCGATCGCTGTTCTTCCAATCCCTAATTCCCCATCGTCACGACATGTCTATAAAAGAATGGTTCGAACAACATAGTGCTCTTGGACACACGCGACAGAAAGAGGGGTCAATGGGCAAATGGTCAATCTACAGAGAGAAATAATGATGACGCATATGTTGCTCAATGATTTACGTATACGCGATCTACTCCAAAGTATCTCCTTGAAAAATCGTAAAGTGTAATTCTGTCGATCTATATAATGATACTGGTCACGAAAATGCAGTAATGGTGTCCGTCAGGCCTTGATCTCAATTCTACCGAGTAAGTCTGCGAGGTCATCTGCAGCTTTGTCTGCTGTTGTAGACTCTTTCGCTTCCTCCTTCACAGGTTCTGCTGCTGCTTCCTCCTTCTCCTCCTCTACCTCCTCCTCCTCCTCCTCGAGGTCTTCTTCATACGCCAACAACTTGCCACCTCTCTGCTTCATGCTAAGCGCGATCTTCTCCAGATGTTCATCATCTTCCTCCTGGTCGTTATCTTGAAGATCCAAACTCATCAAGCTCATCAGTGTCGACGAGATATTCTCAGCAAATAACTTGAACGTCTCGCTTTCGAGGTTGTTATTCTGAAGTTGTAGTGTGTGTAGTTTCGAGTTTGAGCCAAGGGCAAGGGCAGAGAGAAGTATCGGGACTTCTCCGTCGGTCGAGAGGTAGCAATCAGACAGGTTGAGCATCCGCAATTGGGGCCACGACGATATTGCTTCCGTCCATGCCTCTAAGCCAGTTATTTCACCATCATCCATGAATACGTTGTCCTGCAGATCGATGTGTTCCAAATTTGGGCACTTGGCCAGCCCGCGCCCGAGTGCTGCGATACCATCCATCCTTATACCGTTCTGAGGCATACGCACATCAACGAGGGTGCCGTGAGCAGCAAATGCCTCAGCCCATGCAGATGCCGAACCGTTTTCTAAACGATTGCGCCCGCAAATGACAGTGCGCAAATTTGACTTCCTTCCGTCATTTTTACTGAGTTCTGCAGACTTGAGCAGAGCATTAGCTATCACAACGCCACCTGCGGGGCCAAGCCCGTTGTTATTGAGCTTGAGGATTTGGAAACTCCTGTTTTCTGTGAGAAAGGGAACGATTGGATCGACAGATCGACCACCGAACGCGTTGTCGCTAAGATTAAGCTCCACAAGAGACGTCTTATCCTTCAGTGCATCGCAAATTGCTGAGAGTGCTGGGGGGATTTCAGTGATAAGCCGGCCCGTGAAGATATCGGCAAAGTCTGCGATCTAAACAGAGGATTGATAAGAGAAGACATCATTAGTCAGAAACACGTACTCTGAGAACCGTGGTCTTTGTTAAAAATTCTGCAAGAGCTTGTGATGCATCTACACCAAGGGTATTGCCACCGAAGTGGACTTCTTCAATCACAGTGGGATCGACAGTCGCAAGCAACGGTTCTATATCGGCTCGGGTATTGAGCTTGAGACCCCTCCCACTGATTGACAAGACTCTAGATGAAGTGGCCATTGTTTCCGCTCAGGTGAAGGAAAAGGAGAGTGTTAAAGTACCATACTAGCGCCAAAGGAAGAAATTTTGATCATTTGATCTAATCAGAGTCTGTTGATCAGAGAGATAGACATCGACCCTATGTTCACAAGTCGGAAGTATACACCTACCGAGCTCGGAAATTCTGACTTCAAAGTTAAGACTCATGAATAGTAGATAAGCGGGAATTGTTCCATTCAGCGCAACGACTCAAGATTTGGGGCTTTTATTAATTCCCATGCGAGCGAGCAGACTCAATCTATACCGGGGCAACGGCTTTGATGCTTTTCTCGGTCGACAGCAGATGGCAATGTTTTTACTTTGCCACACGAAAGGGAATCTCAGAAAAATAACATAGCTTCGCAATCAATAGTAAGATGATATGATACAAATGCAAGTTACAAAATACAAGTCAGCAATAAGTTTATGCCGGAGGTCCTGGGGCAGGTCGCCGAATCGTTACAGGAGGTTTTGGAGTAGTCGTTCCCTCAGCAGGCTTTAGTCGTTTTGCGAGAGAATCATCAGAGGCGGGAGGTTCCGGCTCACGAGGACGCTTGTTGGCGGCACCCATGATGGACACACCCCCAGTCGAAGCGGCGGCGGCGGCAGCTGCTGCGGCAGGTGCTGCTGGCCTCGGAGCAGCTCCGCGTCCCATTCCACCTCGTGGTGGAACCCTCGTTCCTCGAGGGACAGCACCTCCACGTACGACAGTTCCTGTAGATGCTGGTCCTAATGACGGCTTTCGCGGAAGAGGAGTAGCGGCAGTTGCTTTCGCAGCTGGAGGAGCAGGAGCATTGGACGTGATGGGATTTGAAGGTGCTGTGGTAGTTGTTGGTGTCGCCGGTACAGCTTCAGGAATCAGTCCAGCAGTTCGCCACTCAAGGATCTGCGCTTCAAGATCCTTGACTTTTTTCTGTGCCCTGACAAGTTGGGCGTCCTTCAATTTTCCTTTC